AGGGCAACAGTTCGATTGCAGAAGGGTTGTTGTTTTTTTGTTGTTTTTCCCCTTTTTTTTTGTTTTGGACATATAAGCAAGGGCAAGAGTTTTTACAACCATATTTGCTCCTCTGTTCAGACTCTGTTACGACGACCGTGATAATGATCATAACGACTCTGATGATGTGATCATCTTAGCCGTGATCATGATCATGAAATGAACAGATGGTGATTGATACGCATGGTGCATACCCGCATCGACCTCATCATCGGGGTGACTACGAGCATTCCCGTCATCATTATCGCGAGGTACAGAAACTGCAATATGTAAGTGTTTGTATTCAGATTGTATTACAACCGTGATGATGAAGATGGCTACCCTTACCATGATGATGACCGAAGCAGAGTAATACGTATTAAATACTATTAATTAATTAGAAAAAATAGAAAAAAAAGAAAAACAGGTCGATTGCTATACGTAATGATCTGCGACGTGGCAGATGAAGCAGGTTGGTTGATGGGCTTGTATGATTGAGAGGATAAGCAGCAACGGTTTTTGGGACTTGAAGATACTGGAAGAAGACAAAGCCGATGATGAGAAACACGCTTGTGACACCAAAAGTCAAACACGCAGGCCGGCAAGAAAAAACGAACGACAAAGCAACTCCCCTGACTCACTTGGCACAGGCCACAACTCAGAAAACGGAAAAAAAAAAAAAGGAATCGAAATGGCCGAAGGAAAAGACCGGCGACAAATTCACTCCGATACAGGAAAACCCATAGCCTCGATTCAGCTGAAAAAAAAAAAAAAAAAAAAGGTCAAGCATTCGCATTCGGCTAAACGAAATGGGTGTGGAACGTAACATCGGCCGAGGGTTTAGGCTTTAGGCTTTAAACAGAAGGGAGATCCCCGGCCCCAGTCCACCGGCACATGTAAATCGTTCTGTGTCAACTGTAGCACATTCAACCGACAACACACAGAGTGACAGAGGGTTTAGGGTTTAGGGTTTAAACAGAAGGGAGACCCCCAGCCCCAGTCAAGCGGCCTGAGCTAAAGCGAGATTTGAGATACGTAAACACACATGTACACCGTTCTGTGTCAACTGTATATGAATAGCATTCAAGCATAACATTCAACCCACATGCAGACACACACACTTGGAAGGGGCTCATTTCAGCTGGTTCTATGTCGTTTTCCCGAGAAGAGCATCGGCAAAGACAACGACAGATTTCTCAGAACACAATACAACATTGGGAAGCATCCATGTTGCTGTGAAAGACGGAAAGTAACATGAGTATAGAAAAAAGTAGACAAAAAACACGTGGTGAGATATGCATTGTTCGTAAGAAGCGCCAATCTCAGCAAGCTGAGTATTGCTAAAAATACATATGTTCCTCTCTCTCTCTCTCTC